GGGGAGGGGCTCAAGGGTCATACAAGATGGCGGCGCCCAGGAGCTGCTAAGGCATGAAGGGGAGGATGGCCCTGGCCGCGCTCGCTGCTTGGGCACGGCTGCAGCGGCGGCTGAGCTGGCCGGGACTGGGGCGAGGGCACTGGACCACGGCCCAGGGCTCGCGGAGCCGGCGCGAGGCGGCAGAAGCTGAGGCCGACAAGCCAGTATTCCAGTACGTGGGCGAGCGTGCCGCACGCGTCAGCCGCATTTTCGTGTGGGGCTTCACTTTCTCCGGGGCGCTGGGCATACCCACGTTCGTGTTGCCTGGCTCCGGGCCTAAGTCTCGCGCCGGCTCGCGGTCGTATCGCAGGATCCAAATCGTGCCCTACCGCCTGGAGCTGGACGAAAAGGTGCGGGCCGCGATTTCCTCCCTCTTTTCTTACCTCTATTCCGCCTTCTTGGCCTGTGCCTCTGCCCTCCACCCCCAACATAGTCGGCAGTCTTTGAGAAGTTGGCTCTTGTGGGTGGCCAGACTTTGGGGAGGAAGACCATCTAGCTAACTGCAAGCGTGGGAGAGGAAGGCGTTAGGAACTACTGTTAACATTTATAGGGTGACTGAAACGTGCCAGGTATTGTACCTGGCTCGTGTCATTCTCACAGCATCTGTAAGTGGCAGTTGTCAGTATGCGCTGGCTTTGATGGATGAACAACTTGGAAAGGAGATGCTACTTCTTAGCAGTGACAGAAATGAGAAAGGAAGTCTGAGAGGTCTAAACATGCCAAATGGTTGCACAGGATGACTTTAACTGAGCTCAGATTTGAAAAGGTTACAGCAAAGGACAGCTGCCCAAGAGCACTTTCCTCTGGAAGCTAACCCTCAAAAGGGCAAAAGTGAATGCTTAGAATTGGTTCTTGTTTGGGGACGGTTGTGGAAATCTTGGTGGGTGATGAAAAAGAGGCAAGCATCTTCCGTTTGGCTTTTGACTTTTCTGCCTAGGACAGCAAGTGATCTTTTAACTAAAAGAGGAGATGAGGAAATACAAAGAATTTAAGCTCTAGATGAGTGAGAATTTGGGTTGTTTGACTTATTAATATAATGAGTTGTAACAATTCTTTATGTGTTCAGAATATAGACCCTTACCACATGATATGTACAAATACTATCTCTCAGCCCAGGGTCTTTC